AAATAACTTCGCTCCTTTCAGATTCTCTTCTCTTTAGTTTGATTTCTTCGTACCTACGGTTTTACTCCTAGCAATTGATTCAAAAGCTGTATACACTTTATCCTTTCTTGGCATCCGTGACAATAAGGTCTAATAGAAACCTCTAGATTTTTGTAGTTTTTCTTTCTATTAGTATAAGTAGTATATAACCGAGTTCGGTTTAACTAAGCTAGTTAGTAAATACTAACTTAAAAGTATCGGAAACCGACTTACTATTTGGTTCTTATAGTTAATACTAGCTTAAGTATAACTAATATAGTATGCTAGGGTAGTTACTTTACCTAATTAGTATTAAGTAAATACTACTGTAAAAATAAAAGAAAAAGTATAACTTTATAACTTATAATAATAATTATTATTATTATTAGTAAAAAGAAAAAGAAGAAGAGAAAAAAAGAGGGTAAAAGAAGGTTCTTATATTATAGCTTCTTATAAACGCTTCTTAAGAAGGTATATATTAGAAAAATATAAAAGTAAAACTAACTTAACTAAAAAGTAAAGTTAACCTAAAAGTAAAATCGGCCTAAAGGTATAAACGCGTTTAGGTTATTATATATAGATAGACTCCGACATATTAATTATAGGGGGAGGAGAGTAATATAACGGGTTAGCCTCTAGGTATAGTACTAGCTATACTAGTACTTACTAAGCCTTGCTAAGAGGGCTACTTCTCCTTTATAGTAGAGCCCGAGAAGATTCCTTCTTTCTCCTTTATCGAACTTGTTAAATACCTTATTATACCTTTTATATAACGTGCATGTATAGCGAACCGGCCAAACAAGCGAACCGGCCAAAATTTTCTGCACTCGCGATTGAAATTGTAAGAACTCTACCACAACGCCTCTAATTAAAAAACACTATTCAGAAATTTCTTCCTCAGATACTTCCTCTATAATATTACAGGTGCGCGTAGTATGACCAGTCTCTCCGCAGTTGCCACAGCGCCGTGCACGTGATTCTTCCCTCGGCTTCCGACCACTACTTCTCTTTATTTCCTGCATTACCTGCTCACCGACCTCTCTATCATCCTGTAGGTCCTGCGCTTCCTGTTGACTAAGTTATCCTCCTTGCTGTAGGCGTGTTTTTTAGCTCTACGGCGCTTACTTAGTACTTCATTTGCTTGTCGAAGTCTCTGGTTCTCAGCTTTCA